CACTGCTACTAGAACCAGATGACGCTAGAAACCACTTTCCCATTAGGAAGAGCCATATGTTTTCCATCCGCACGCACCTTTTCACGGAATTCACACAGGCGTTCGTGGTTATTTACATTTTTTAGCGTTACAGTTGAATGCGCTATGTTGCTCGGTTATGAATATTCTGTGCTCTTCTGTACCATCTGAGTTTTTTGGTGTGCGATTACGAAGCTATCAGAGTTCGCATACTTATTGTTACAGCTTTGAAGGCAAGTACTGTAGGCTGTCCTGAAACTCAGTTCCGTTTTTACACTTGTAAAAAATTGGAAGCACTACGCTTCTATGGTAGGGGGGGGGTTCGATATAATCCCACCAACACCACACGTGAGAATGGTATGGTCACCCAAGCACACCCCTCCACCCCTTCATCACCTTTACCACGAACTCCCGCCATCATGATTGTGCTTCGGTGTTTACTTAATTTACCAACGACTATGCACGTTTTTGATTACTTCGCGAAAATTGTCAGAACCTCGTCGAAGCTGGAACCTTGTGCCACTACCCAATCTTTCCTCCTCCCAGTGCGACCCCACTCGCAATTCTCTGAAGTGGAAATCATCTGCGTCGGCAGCTACCGTAGGATTTTCGCTTTGTATGGCTTCCAAATTTTTTGGAAGAATTCGTTTAAAAATCGTCTTCCTATGTAAGCAGAAAACCAATCACTGAAAGCCATCATGTGTAGGATCATCGAGTCGTGCTAAATAATCGCTGCCATCTACATGGAATTGTGCATGATCACGTGTGGGCTCGAAAGGATCGTTCATCAAGAGGTGTACACGGTTGGTTCATTATTAATAGTAAATTAATATTTATAAGTATAAGTATAAGTCTATAACGCCTGCGGAAGGCAAACGTGACTGAAATAACGTGCTTATCAATTGTTTTAGTTCAAGGGAATCTTCAGGAAGCCTCCTCTATGTAGTTCATGAACTCAGTCAACTTGAAGGATGAAAAAAACGCAATGTAACTACCGAACGCTTATCCTAAAAGGTGGGTCCACTGTAAGTTCCTCGCAACTCCCTATTTTTTTATTCATTTCAAGCAGCAACACTATTCCGCGAGTATTAACGACAATATTTATTGGTCACTATTATTAACGCACTAATTCAATCGCTAACGCTACAAACAACCAATTGCGTAAAACCAAAGATAATATGGTTTGCTAATCAGTCTCAGAAAACGTTAGGACTCGGCATTGCTTCGTAGCAAGTTAACTACACGGCGTTGAATTGTGCCAGCGATAGTGAGGCGGGTATATTTTTCACTAGTTTCAGATAATCACTGCC